GACCAGTATATTATAAATTCTAGCTACTGGTATTCCAAACGATTTTACAACAGCACGAAATACTGCAAAAACGCATGATCTCACAGACCCACCAGTGCGCGTCGCCAATGATTATTTTCTTGATCGAAGCAGTGTGGATGTTCGTTTTACAATAACAAATACTACTTGCATCTTCATGATGCTGCATGCCAAACTCTAACTTCTTTCCCAAAAAAAGTGTTAGCGTAATAAATTTAGAACGAAATGGGCCACAAGCCTGACTTCAGTAGTTTTACCTGCATCAATTAGACCAGTGTTTATCGCCACTTACTGCATGCACTGACGCACTTTCCACCGTGTATTCTAGGAGAATCAAAATCTATAAATGGCTTTAAGTACCATTTATGCATACCATAGTTTTGTGTTCACGTTTTTGCGCAGGTTTTGCGTTGGGAATCCTTGTCGATTCGAATGCCTGCAGCCAAAAATTATTGGTGACGCGCACCGGATGGGCCGTGCGATCGTGCGTTTTTGCAGTACCTCGTGTTGCTGTAAAATCGCTTGGAGTCCCAGAAGCTAAAATTTTTGGCATACCGGCCGTCTAAGTGCAGGAAATTAATTGTGCAACTACATGGTATTTGGCAGGGATACATCTCCTCAAAATTTCAGTCTTCTGTCTTTTCCGGCTCGAGTTAGCAATTTTCTCGCCAAAAATTTTTGCGCAGCCGTATGTGAGAACTCCACATACCTCGGGGCTGGATTTGAAATATTTAAGTTGTACACGGACTGGAAACATCTCCTAAAATTTCAGTCTCCCTGCTTTCCTGGTTCTTTAATTAGCCATTTCCTCGCCAGAAACTTTCACGGGCCGTACGTGAGGACCACGCGCACGGAGGGACTGAATTTTATAACTTTAAGTTGTACACGGGCTGGGAATTTGAATATTTGTATACGGGCTGGGAACTTGAAATCTTTGAGTACTATATGTATGGGGAACATAATCGCAAAATTTCGGCTTTCTAGATTTTCTGGTTTCCGAGCTAGCCATTTTTCTATCAAAACTTTCACTCACTCGCATGCGGGGCCTAGAAGTACGCGAGGGTTGGTACCACAGTTCTAGGGGTGGACTAAGCCGGAGAACCCACTGGCCAAACTTTGGCGCCGGAGCTTACTTAGCTGCTGAGTTGAAATACCTGGACACACACACACATCGGGGTGGTCACAATATGCGTTTTTGCACTTGCACATATGCAGAAAGGCATAATAAATAGCGGCACACACCAGAGTAGCCGGTATGATCACGCGTTTTACGCAGTTTCGACCAGCGGACATTTGCCGTCCAAGGATATTTACTGTTTTACACTTTGGTCTGTGAAAAAGTATTTGACACGCTGTTTGTTTCCTAAGCTGCGGAATTTTCAATTAAAAATTTCACGCCCCAATGCGTGATATGCATACGTACGTGAAAGCTGAATTTGAGACCCCGGACGGTGAACATTGTTTCAAGATTCCAACTTTTTAGTTCTATGACTTCCGAGGAACTTTCGCGCCAAAACCTTCACGTCGTTATACATGAGACCTTGTCATACTTGGAAGCTAAAATTGAGTTTGTTAGGCCCCTGCATAAGCGTAAAACATCCTTCTGAAGTTTTCAGCCTCCCAGTTCTCCTCGTTCCCGAGACAATAATTTTTCCCACCAAAACTTTGACTGGGCTATACGTGGAACCCAGACTTAAGTGAAAGCTGAACTCGAATTTGTGAGGCCATTCGCGGGCAGAGGACACTGACCTAAAATTTCAGTCTACTAGCTTTCGTGGTTTCCAGGATGGCAGTTTTTCTCGCCGAAACTTCCACGGGGCCATACGTGGTACCCAGACGAGCGAGAAGACTGAATTTAAATTTGCGGTATCATACTTGTGCGAGGAACATTCTTTTAAATTTTAGTCTCCTAGCCTTTGGAGTTCCGGAAAGAGTAAATTCCCCCTCTAAAAATTTTACGGGGCCGTACTTCATATCATATCCGGATGCGTGGGAGGGCTTAGTTTAAATTTGCTGGGTAGTAAGAGGGCAGAGGCATTACCTCAACATTTTAGCTTTCCAGCTTTCGTGGTTCTCGAGATAATAATTCTCCCTGCCATAACCTTTGCGGTGTTTTACGTGGTACCCGGGGGCACGTGAAAGTTTGCATGTTGCGCGTGGGCAAGAAACATTTCATTAAAATTTCAGCTTCCTAGTTTCTCTGGTTTCCGAGCTGGAAGTCCCGGATAAAATCCATTGGGAAAACACACACACACACATTATGCGTTTTGTGCAGCTATTGCAGCACACAGCGCATAATGGAACAGTTACATCGAAGTATTGCAGAAGACGCATCGTGTTTAAATTTGAGTAATGTTCCCAACACTGCTCTGTCGTAATTTGTACCTAATTTGCAGACTGGTGTTAACTGTAGGATGGAGAAGTCCACGAATGTGCATAGCGGATGGGTCAAAGTTCTGTCATAACGAAGTGCAATAACTTTCTGAATGTGCTTGGCTCTTGAGTTTTTATCCAAAATAACTTTATCACTAAGTAGCACATATTCTGTCTGGAAGCAAGCCAGTGCGCTCGCTTTAGTTTAAATCGAGCATATTTATCGCTAAAACACCTAACAGAGTGATGACCTGACGTGCTTTTTTGCGGCAGTGAAGTGGCGGATGAGTGAAGTACGTTCAAGAAAATGACTGTGTTGCAGGTGAATGGTACGTCGTTGCAGTATCTGGACTGTGACTTGGCTCTTCCGTTGATGAACGTTGCCGAAATTGAGATGCTTTTGTACAGGGAACCAGTTTCATCAAACGCCTGTGATGATGAAGCAGACTGTAGAAGTAGTGTCAATTTGAGCTTGCACGATTCTGCTGTTTAAGTCTTCATTCATACTTCCTGCGTTTTGTTTCTCATTTTTCACGGGGATCTGTTTGGCTTTTCTGCTTTGCTCTTGAATAAGTTACAATTTTCCTTTGATACTGAACCGTCCGTTAATGACAATCTGCGTAACAGAATCTGATCTCCATTCTGCGATTCTATCATATTAGTGTCTTACTAGATGTTCCGGCTTTAAAACATATACATGAGCATGTCTGTTTTTTTGCGACCCACCCCAGTTCAGAAAATACCTGAAGCATACACTACGTTCCAGTCAAATGCGCTAGGTTCATATTCACTTTCAGGAAGTGAAAAAATCTGCTTTTGCATGAATTTGCTGTCACGGTTTCATGACTTTCCATTTTCATCCAGTTGGTGTCAATTTTTATTAACCAAATACGACTTTAACTTTGAAAATCAAGTTTTATGTATTGTTGAGGGTTCAAACAGTTGCATTTTGCGGTCACGCTAAGTTTAAGTGAGTATTTATGAAGGTGGCGCAGTATATCAGCGTTGTCAGTTCTTATACGTTTTGACACTGCATCAGGATGCAAAACACATCAAAGTAGGGACTATGTGTATCTGTTTGTGTGTGTATGTATGAATAGGTATATGTGTATGTATGTTTGTGTGATATTTTCTAGGCATTTGCGTTTGTTTTTGTTGCATGCATGTCTACGTAACAATGTATGTGAACTACTGAACTAGGAAAACCGAGAAGTTAAAATTCTGTCTATAAAGTGCTCGACCTCATACTAGCTCTTGAAATTTTTTTGAACTTCTACTCTAAGTACTGACTTCCGGCTTCAGGTACAAATTCAGGTTTCAAAAAATCACTCAGTAGTCGAGAAAGATGTATTCCTGAATTTTTGTAGAGAAAGCCTTTGAAGTTGTGCGAGGCTAAAAAAATGAAAGTCAATTTCTAGGTCACACTGTTCAGGTATTTGACTGCAAACTCAAATTCTGGCTAATTTTAAGACTCAAGAATCAAAGAATATAAGCTTTGGGTTGAACACCATTGACTACGTACGAGGCAAAAAGTCAAGAAACCAGTTTTTTAAAGCGAGATATATGAAGATTCAGCCCAAGCCAGCAAGACCGTATTTGTGTATGTTTATCTGACTGTCTGTTTGCCGTAATGATTCATATCTAAATATACGAAAACAAATTTGTTAAAACTTGGCGGTATTGTCCCCGTCATGTGCGAGCCTGGAAATGTAAAATCAATTTTCATGCGCTTTTACACATTTATGCAAATACAAAAGCGTAAATTGATAAAAGATTGTCTATGTGTGTGTTCGTGCTTTGTCACCCACTTTTAACCCAAGAAACAGAGAAGCTAGGTAGCTTAAGCTGCTGAAGCATGTGCTTACTTCATGTGCGATCCTCCCATTATGCGTCTTTGCTACGCAGCACTATAGCGCTGCTATAGCGAGCAAAAACGCACACTGTTGAGAGTTCGTCCGCCTGTGTGTGCGTCTGTTCGGAAACGAGTGGACTTTGTCACCCACTTTCAGCCCAACAACCAGAAAAGCTGGAAGGCTGAAATTTTGGGAGCATATTCCCATTCTATTTGTCATCCTCCCGGTATTCATCGCTCATACGGGCTTAGATCTCGCATGCGGACCCCCCAAAAAATATGCGAATTTCTTTGGCGGGAAACGATTTTAGGAGCCAGACAAGGTAGAAAGCTGAAACTTTGCAGAGATATTCTATGTGCTTGTGTAGGCTAAAGATTTCAAATTCAGCCATTGCGCACACTTGTACAGCGCGTACGGTTATGTCAAAGTTCGCACTTGACGCTGTGCTATCTCGAAAACTAACTGGAAAACATTAACAGAAATTTTATCAGAATATTTGTTGTCCATATGGGAAGTCGTATACCTAAACTGAGTTACGACCTGCACTTGCGTCACGACTTAGGGCACTTCAAAGATATTTGTGGCGAAGTGGCTATTTCGATCACCGGATAAGGTGCAAGGCTGAAACTTCGTTGAAATATTCTACTTTCATGTGTGGTATTAATTCAATTTGGAGGTGAAACTTTCTGCAGGTTGGTATGATAAGTACTCGATATTATCGCAAACTCAAAAGTGAGTGCGTTTTGCAGATTTCACAATCCTTTTCCGGTTTCCTTCAAATTCGCATTTGTTTTTTCAATGAGCGAGCATTCACCGAAAAACAACCGGGCTTCATGCAAAAATCCGGTAATTATGTACGCTGGTAGTCCATGCGGCTCTATAATGCAACACCTTCATCCAGCAGACGCCCTTTCTCTCTGAGTGCGGGAAGAGACCGAAACACAACCAATATGAGTTCAGTGTTAAACTACGCGTACGGACCATTCCTACTCTTAACGACCTGCAAGTTTAGTGCAAAAACGCATGATCGCACCGGCAAGTCAGGTGCGTCCCGGCCTAGGTTTTATCGTTTAAGCACGCTTGTATTTCACGTAAGGATGCTGAAAAGAAAAGATGTAAATTTCTTAGCGGGAAAATGATCTCGAGAACCAGACAAGATAGGCAGCTAAAATTCTACACGGGTGTTCTATTTCCTTAAGTGAGCTGAAGATTCCAAATTCAGCTTTAGCGCTTGCCTACATTATATGTACGGACACGTCAAAGTTGAGGTTGCGAAATTGCTGGTGAAATGTCAGCTCGGAAACCTAGCTGATAGAATGCCTTAATTTTAAGAGAATATTTATTTTCTAATCCAAGCACGTGGGCGTAAAATGAGCTGTGGCGTATGCCCTGTATCGCGCATTCGGTCGCACCAAAGATACTCGTAACAAAAAAGCGATTTCGCCAACCAGTCAGACTAGGAAAATAAAATATTACTGGGATATTCTGTGCCAGCGTGCAGCCTAAATGTTTCAAATTTAGCTTTAAAGCACGCCTAGGTCTCGCACGCGCGCAAGCGAATATTTAGTTTGAACACAGCATCCATTTAATCCGATAGCCAAACTGAATAGGAAGCTGTATTTTTCTGAAAATATTTAAGGGTAAGCAAAATTGCAATTAGAAAAAGTAAAAAGAGGTGATGAAGTAAATGAAAAGAATTTACAAGTGAAAATATAAATGGAAATATTAAATTAGGTAAGAAATGTTTCGGTCCATTAAGTCATATTTGTTTTTATATGCAGGCCACCAGGCGTAGGATGAGCTTCCGTCCAGGCATTAGCCATGCGCATAGGGTTTTATGAGGTATCCAGAGGCAAGGGAGAGCTGAAATAAAATTTGGGCGGGAAATACCCCTCTAAATTTTCAGATTCCATTCCTAGCTTTTGTGGTTCTCGAGTTGAAAGTTGCGGACAAGATGCTTCGGACAGATACACACAAATGCACAGACAACCTTATGACAATATGCGTTTTGCGTAGTTGTTGCACAGCACAAAACGCATACGCGTGAGGCTAAGAGAAGACAATCTGGAAAATACTTTGAGACACTGCATCAGTGATCTAAATCCAGACTTCAACAATCTTGTGTCAAAAGTTCAATCTCAGAGCTCGTATTAACCTGCTGCTGTTCATTTTTTTACTAAATAAAGCAGCAAAAACTTATCTGTTTTTATGCCTTTTGCATCTTATGTAAATGCAAAAACACATAATGTAGAGAGCAAGCCTGTGCAGGGGTGTGTTCAGAAACAAGTGAACTTTTTAACCCCCTCTCAACTTAGCAAGGGAGGCGCTGCAAGGGGGGGGGGGG